TGGCTACTAATGGAAAGAAAAACAAGCAATTTGAACCCACCAGTTTCTCTGTGGAAGAAAAATGTGAGTTGCTTAAGAGCCATGGAAACCCCTATGGGGCAATTCCAGAATGGCCTGTGGGGTCACTGTGAGTTGCAACTAACTTGATAGCAATCAGTTTGCTTTCGAGGGGTCTCTTTAAGACACTTGGGAACTAACTGAAATGGCAAATAATAAATCCAAGGAAAACCAGTGCCTCCTACTGAGATGGTAAATGGCAGCCCTGTGGCTGAAGCCAGCATGCAGATGTGTGTTACATGATCTTGATACCTTTTAAATTGAGAATAGATGCTACGTTTCGAAAAAAGAGGAACTTGACCTGAAAGTCAGGACTCTCAGTGCCTCTTGAAGGTCTGTGGCTAAATAACCTGCAGCTGTGCCACCAGCATTGTCACACAGCCACCACCAGCGGGAGCGTGGCGACAGCCTCTCTGCTGCTGTCATTAGGTGCCAAGGAGCCAAGTGTGGCTCAAAGTGACCCTGTGCGTGACAGGATGAAACCTTGCCCAGTCTTGGGCAGCAGGATCCTGTGCAATTTGCTCAGCTGCACTGAGCAAGTCTGCTGTCTAGGACCTAAGGACAGCTAATGAGCAAGGATGTCAGTTTCAAGATTAAGGTGCACCTGGCTCAAGCTATGGTATTTTATTTATTTATTCATTCATTCATTCATTCATTCATTCATTCTTTCTTTCTTTCTTTTTATGTGTGTACCGTCAAATTGGATCTGACTGGTACAGGAGGCGATTGTTCCTCCTTCTTCAGCAGAGCATCTGGTGGATTTGAACGGCGCACCTCTGGGATTGCAGTGCAGTTTCCTACCACTAGGCCACCAGAGCTCGCCAAGTATTTTTATTTGCTTGATATATACGCATGTGAAAGCTGGACACGAATAAGGAAAATCAAAGAAGAATTGATGCCTTTGAATGATTCTAGCAAAAAACAGAAATTATCCCAAGGATTGCCAAAAGAACAAACCAGTCTGTCTTGGAGGAAGCGTAATTTGAGGGCTCCTTTGAGGTAAGGACAGTGAGACTTCAGCTGTGTGCTTCCGGCCTGCTGTCAGGAGGGTTACTGAGTTAGCAGCTCCACCACAGTGAGTCTGGGTAACGGTATAACAGTATGGACTCTGGAGTTCCGGAGATGTGTCTGCTGCAGGCTTCTCCTGACAGCAATGCTAACAACAGAGCTCAGCATTCTCTAAGTCAGCCACGCAGAGGAGTAACTTTACTCCTGTGTTTGGCAGCTTGTCTGAGTAAAGTGGTTCAGATAGATCACTTCCCCAGAGCACTCTGACAACTGGGATAGTGGACTTTCTACATTATGACTAATGTGCCCATACCCTCAGGAAGACAGGAGATCTCTGTAACAGGGTTACATTCATTTCTTGGAAGAGACCGGGACACGAGGCCCCTCCACTAGCACCAGTGACAACTGTGCAGAGAGTGAGGCACTGAGCTCTCACAGTTGCATCGTATGCACTGTCAGTTGACACAGACTGAATTGTGTGGGCCTGGGAAAGCACAAAGGGAGCAGGGGAGAAAGAATCCTTTTAAGTTCAGGCAATAGGTTACCCTCCTGGTAACAGAAGACCAGCTAATTCAGGCCAATCTTTCCCTAAACCTAGAAAATACAGACCATATGCAAAAATAGGCTTGGAGAGAAAAGTTATTTGGAAGCATGGAGAGATAACAGGGTAAGGAAGAATTATAAGGTTAAGGAAAAGCCAAAGAGGTGTATCCGGCATCTCCCCTCCAGGAGCTATTGGCTCTGATGAGGGCAGGCTGCAGGGAGGCTGGGCAGAGACAGACCCAGGGGCTCGACAGCCTGAGAGTCAGGGCAAATTGAAACCAGGCCAGGAGTGAAGGGCACAGAAAGGTTAACAATGTGGGTAAATCCAAATTACTATTGACTCTGAGATAATAATAGTTAATGCCTCACGGGGTTTAACATCCAGGGAGAATTGGAATGCTCGACACTAGCAGGCTTTCAGTTGGGAGGGGACTAAATGGCATTAGAGAGGTACAATTCCTTCTGCTGAATGAGAAGTGCTAAGCTTGCTAATTGAAGGTGCACTTTAATAAGTCAAGAATGCACATTGTGGTATCTGTTGATGACGAAATGAATAATGAAAGAATGTACAACTAACAAGCTAATAGAGAGGAGAAAAGGAAATGGAATCAGTGGAATCAGTTCCAAACAGGACAAGAGAAGAGAAAGAGGAACATAAAAAAAGTGGAACAAATAAAAAGTGAGCAGTAAGATGGGAGATTTAAACGCAAATATATCAGCAATTACATTAAATGTAAATGGACTAAATGCTCTCGCTAAAACACACAGATTGTTAAAGGATAAAAATAAAAACCAATTACACGCTGCTTACAAGAGACAAACCTTAATGCAAGGATGCAGGATGTCTGGAAGTTAAAGTATTAAAAAAAGGTAACCACTAAATAAAAACAACCTGGGACAGGCCTGTTCAGACAAAGACGTTTGAAAGCAAAAAGCACTGCTAGAGAGAAAGAGGCAGGGTGCATAATGAGGGTGGGTTCAATTCACTAGGAAGATGGAGAAAGTCTAATTTTGTATATACCGAAAAATGGCAGACTCAATAAACAGACAGGAAAAAAAAACAGGGGCAGGGCCACTCTGCAGGGGTCGGGGGAGACACCAAGGCAGTTTGTAACAACAACACCACACACACACACACACACACACACACACACACACACACTCCGTCTTCTCACAAAGTCCAGGCTCCCGAGGGCCTCTGGTGGCACTTTCAGAGCAAATGCCAGTGTTTGAACACACTGGGGAAAAAACATTTTCCCCACAACCCAGGCCCTAAACAAAACCAGCGACTTCATCCATGGACTGACCTTTCAGTCAGCAATCCGAGGGCTTTCCAAAGGTAGCTTTAATCACTTGCACATCTGACTACGATTAGAGTCTAAACTCTGGGCGAGATGTAGCTCCGTTTCAAACCTTCTGGCATGGCTTTCCTCTTAGCCACAGAACCCCTCCTTCAAACGTGACTCGTGTCAGAGTGCAGGGTTTGTTCATTAGTTGGTTACTTACCTCTGTTGCCTAAAGTAAAACTTCAATGAGAGCAGGGTGCATGTCTGTGTTCCTGGATCTCCTGTGCCTAGAAAAGGCTCTGTCACATAATGGGTGCTTAATGCACACGTTTCTAGACCAGGTCAGTATAGAAGATGACCTGTTACCTTGCCTGGAACTCCCTCCTTGGCTGGAGCAGAGGCCATGTGAGCTGCAGCCCTGGGTCTGCGCCCTGTGATCCTGTCCATAGGCCCTGACAAAGGGCTTGCTCAGTGCAACAATACCTCTCCTGACTTCCTGGCTGCTGGTGCTAAGGGTGTTGACTGCTGATCCACACAGGATGAAAGCACTGACAGCCTCAACCCTTTCTCCATCTATCACAGTGTCAACTGTAGGCTCTGTGGTGAGGACGCTGAGATGTAATGCATATCTAAGGCTGTCGTCCTTCTGTGTGGATTACATCTCAATATAAACACGTTGTTGCTCTTGTGTGCCGCTGTGTTGACTCCAACTGATAGCAACCCTCTGTGCAACTGCTCTGAAACTGCTCTATCTGGAGCCAATTTCAGTGTCTCTGACACACCTACCACCATTACACCAGTCACAGAGTCAATTCATCCCATTCAGGGCCTTTTTTCTCTTGCGCTGTCCCTCCACCCTCCCAAGCATGATGTCCCTCTCCAAGGATTGATCCCTTCTTACAACACGCCCAAAGTATGTCAGAGGAAGCTTTAAAATCCTTGCTTCCAAGGAGCTGCCTGGTTTCACCCTCTCCAGGATGAACCTGTTTGTTCTCTTAGCAGTCCATGGTATATTCAATACTCTTCTCCAGAACCATATAACTCAAAGACATAGATTCTTTTTCTATCACACTTAGACATTGTCCAGCTCTCTGATGCATAGCAAGTAACTGCGAAGACCATGGCCTGGATCACATGCACCTTAGTCACCAGACTGACAGAGTAAATACTCAATTAACAGTCATTATTATTGTCATTGTTTCTTGCTAGGTCTCCAATTCCTCTTCCTTCTTCCATGGCCAAGAGGTGCCAAGTCAAGATCTAAGGTCTCAGGTTTGGCGTGGGAGAGCCTCCCCGGTTTTGTGAAGGAGAGAACTGGTTGCCATCACCAGGCCCCTTACCTGTGCCAGCAGGAAGCTCTCCCTCCAGCTCCCCAGTAAACAAAGATGAAGGCCCATGAAGGCCCAAGAACTCAGACCAGTGCATTTGCGTTTACAAGACTGACTGGGACAGGACTGGGTTCTGGGCTGGGACAAACCCTTGGGACAAAACACTAGGATGCCTTGAGCTCTTTGCAACCCCTTGGGTCACAGGTGGTTTGAACAGAACCCCTGGAGCCGTTGTTTCAGTCCCAGGCATTACGCTAAGTGGCACACCCGTAGCCTCAAATGCTTGTATTTTCCAAGGTAAGGTCCCAGCACTGGGCTCGGGGTTGAGTCCTGGGGCTGCCACTTTCCAGCTGAGTTAACTGCCTGCACTATGCTTCACTTACTCAACTGTGAAATGGGTATAGTCGCAGAGCTTACCTTACAGTCTAGATAAACTTAGATATAAAAAGACGTAAGCAGAAGCTGGAATGGGTGTCTGGATTAGTACATATAGCTTCTCATGTCATTAGAGGAATGAGAGATTGACTTTTCAATCAAACCCTTGTATTTTTATAATTTTGGATCATTTGCATGCATTGTTAAGTAGATAAATGAATTTTAAAGTAAAACCGAAAATAAGAGCCATTTTCAATAATAACCATTTAAAATAGGAAAAAACCAAACCAGCTGGCTTCAAGTCAGCCCAGTCCCTGGTGTGGATGGTACTGACCCAAGGGCTCCGCCCTCACGACACTGAGGTGATCGTTCCCAGCCCTGACCACGGGCATCTGGAACTTACTGGAACAGCACCTCTCCTGATCTGGGAGTGTGGCGGGGGACTGGTGATTTGGGGTGGGCTCAGATTTGCTGGCAAAGAAAACTTCAGCACTGTCCTTCCGTTTCGCAGACAAATGTCTTTCCCTTTTATTACCTGTAAGAAAACAAAACAAGGTTTTTTGGGTGGGACCTTCTGCTCAGACATTTGCTTACGTGATCGTTCACCCATTTTCTCAACGAAAATTTACTGGAGTCCCATTTTGTGCCAGACACTGTGCTAGTCTGAGCAAGAAAACAAGTTTGCTGAGAGTCACTGCTAAACAAACATCACATTTTGTGTAAAACAAATAAACTAGTCTAGGATCACAGGTTTTCTAACATTTCTAAATGGTGTTGTGGTTAAGTACCATCGAATCAGAACCAACTCATAGCTGACCCTCCAGCAGGTTTCCAGAGGCAGTAACTGGAGGTAATTGATTGCCCATCTTTCTCCTGTGGAGAAGCTGGTGGATTAGAACTGTGAGCCTTTGGGTTGGCAGCGCAACTCCTTAACACCACGCCAGCAGAGCTCCCTATTCCAGGATGCAGCAGTTTTCTAATTTTAACATTTCTCGGAATTTAGAAATGTCTAAACTATTCCAGGATGCTGAACTTTTCTAATTCTAACATTTCTAAATAGGACACGCTTCCTAAAAACTGACTGCTGGCCAGGCCCAACCGACAGCATTCCTGCTCTCCAAGCCACTGCTGGTAGGGCAGCTCTGACTCCTAAGACCCTCCACCAGGATTTTGAGATTGTAAATCTTTATGGGAGGAGGTGGCCCACCTTTCACCCTGCGAAGCAGCTGGTTGGTGGATTCAAACTGTTGACCTTTCTGATAGCAGCCCCACACTGTATGTCTTCCTCATAGTACAAAAGATAATTATACAACCAAAGGCATCTTAAGAATCATGGAGCCCTGTGCTTGGGTCCTCCTGGCCTGGGAAGGAAGAAATCCACGAAGTGTCTATGCCAAGTGCAAAGGAAAGGGAATGTCAGCCAAGAAGATTGTGGGGCTTATGTTGTTTCAAAGAGGGGGTCCTAGATTCAGGGCCACGTGGGGGTCTTGGGAGCCCTGGGTTAATGTGTGATGCTCTCTCAGCTTGCACTAATACATCTGCCCCTGTCCCCTGGGTTTTGTGAAGGTCATATATTTACCACTTTCTGAAGTACCTGCTTCAATAAATCAATACAAACTTGGTACAAACTTTTCTTGGTTAACATGTTTACGTGCCTCTTGTCCGTTTTCCTTGCTAGAATGGGAGTGTCACGGCAGAGGAGACGAGCCCTGACTCGTTCCTTTCTGATCTCCTGTGTTAGCACAGTGCGTGGGGCCTGACCCATGCCCCGTTAATGGATGGATGAACAAATGTCTCAGGACCAAGTACATCTTTTCAGGTGACAGCGGACTGCCCGTGCATCAGTGCTCAGTGTAACTCAGAACTCCTGTCCCAGGGTGAGATCCTGCATCGCACCCCTGGGCCCCCTGCGCACTTCCCCCAGTGGGGGCCCACCTCCTGCAGCTTCTGTCCCTGATCAGAAGGAGCACAACAGAGCCGCCAGCCGCAGGAGGCACGCACCAATGCCAGGCAGACCCTGCCTGCGACACCTATCACTGTGCCATGCAGGGGCCACCAGTAAGCAAACTGCCAAGAAGGGTGGAAAGTCAAGAGATGGAAGTGCTGCCTTTTTCAGTCTCAAATGGAACCTGGCCTCAGATGAAGGTCCCGCCTGGTGGTGGATGCTGGCTTGCCCGCCTCACAATCCACGCTCTTCACAGCCCTCCCTCCCCGCGCCCTGTCCCACAGAGAACACAGCATTCCCTGGAAAAGGATGCATTTCCAGTAGATGTCTCACAGAAAAATGTTCCCAACTGTGGGCTCCAAGAAAGGCAATCCGCCTCAGTGGACGGAAACACTTGCTCTGGGATGCTGGGATTGTCGTCTCTGTCCAAGGTGGCACCGACTCAAAGGGACCCTACGTACAGCAGAGCTAAAAAGTCCCTAAGAACAGCATTAACGCAAAGGGACAGGGTGGAGGGGAGCTCCTCTGGGGAATTTCTCCTTCCTAAACATCCCAGGTCTGCCTCCTGTGCCCCTCCTGGGACACGGGCTAGCACCAGCCTCTGTGATTCTGACCGGGCAGGCTCAATGGGCAAACTGCATGGACCCTTGAGTGCAGCAAAAGCAGATGTCAAAGGGGAATCAAGGTGTGGCCTTCTGAGGGAGGGGCACAGGATGGTGGGCAGGCGGAAGGAGGCCTGATGACTCCCCGAGCTGTCCACATCCTGATCTCTGGAACCTTCAAACGTGTGGTTCAGCCAGCTGGGTCTCGACTCAGAGCCTTAGCCCTGGGCTCCTCTGTGACCTTAGCCAGCAACTGGGCCCTTTTGCTGAAGCCGGTTTGCACTTAGGTTTCTGTCTCTTCAGAGACTTAATCGATACACCTCGTGGACAATGAAACCACTGACCCAGAATTGAATTTACAACACTGCTAGAAATTTCATATCTTGCATTAGATCCAGAGATATCAAAATGAAAAAAAAAATCATATAAGAGGGAGCTCACTTTTGGAAGCGGTGTTAAACCCCAGCACCACCAGGGTGTCTGGGCCCTGGGGAAGGGGTCTCTCTGTCTCCTGATCCTTGAGTAGCTCCTTCTGTACCAATTCCCTACTTGGCAGGGGGTCATCTCCGGGACCTCCTGCCACCAGCAGCTGGTCCTCAGACTCCGGCTCAGAGAGTACGTCTTCCTCGATGGAGTCGTATTCGTCACTGTGACAATCCTTCTCTTTCCTTTGTGGATTGGCACTAAGCTCCAGGCTTTTTCTCAGCTCCTGCCAAAAGCCAAGCAGATAGGTGAAAGAAAAAAAAAAAGAAAGAAAAAAAGTACTTTCAGTAAAACCCACTCTTAAATAAATCTCTGGAGCCCAAGAACTCTGCCCACACCAATGTAACAGGTGTTCCCTAAGGGTGGAGGGTAGGGAGTGAGGGCTGTGAGGGGGCCGACCTGGCCTCCATGACAGGACAGCAGATGGGACCTTCACTTGCTATGGGGCGTGCTTTAGTCTTGACTTTCTCTCACTGCTTGACTTTTTCTCATTGCTTGATTTTTTCTCATTGCTTTGAAGCTGGGGATCAATGAGTGCCTCTCTGTCCAGGGAAATCTTTATAGTACTGACTTCGGTGGTGGTCATGTACCAGAGAGTTCTGTGACTTGTTAAAACATATTGTGGAATGTGTTTCTCAGAGTTTCTTACTCAGTGGGTCTGAGAAGGAACCCAGTAATTGACATTTCTGGCAAAGTGGTGCTGTGGTCCAGGAACGCCACACTTGCAATGCGGAAGCGGCTGGCGTAGAGCTGGGAGGGGCAGCCTGGAGCACTGTGGGATGTTTAGCAGCATCTAAATGCCGTAACATTTAGCACTTCACTCTAACCGCTTGCTAATTTTGTTATATGTGTCCCTTTTGTCTCTGTGAGACTGTCCAGTCTTGAAGACCAAACATTACAAAATCTATACATAGCAGGACTAGAAAAGGCATTACCCACCCCAAGCTGCTTCTGAAAGGAAAAAAAAACCCACAAAAAAAAACACAAACACCAAACCAAACAACAAAACCCAACAACAAAAAACCACAAAGGAGAGGAAGACCTTCAGCAAAATGGACTGATACAGTGTCTGTGACAATGGACTCAAACATATTGAGGGTGAGAAAGACGGCAGGAGAGGAGAGAGTTAAAATCCAGTGTGCATTGGGTCGCTATGAGTCATACTCGACTCGATGGCACTTAACAACACTTACAGAAACATATGAAAATAGAATTTGGTGGGCCAAGTCTAGCTTGTCAAGTCTAGGTGGGTCTGTCTAGCTATACCACCTCTGTAACTCTCACTGTATCTAACATAGTTCTGAGAAAATGAGATACAGTCAATAAAGGTTTGATGGGTGGGTGACCAGCAAATGTAACAGTTGTTTTGGAAGCCTGGATAATGCTCCCCACCCAGGTGTACAATCCTGATCTCGGCAACCCACGAAGATGTGACACTGCTAGTGAGGGTTCAAAAGGAAGGGAAACAGACTGCAGGGAAACTGGGGATGTCTCAGGATACCTGCATGGCCACAGACAAGACTGCAGGGAGAAACTTGGAAGTCAAGGTGCTGCTGGGTGAGGGCTGAGAAGGAAAGGAGGAATGTGTGAGTAGGAACCGGAGAAAAGGGGAGCTTATACCACAGTGGCAGGAAGTGAGCTGAGGGAGCTTGGACCACAGTGGCAGGAAGTGAGCTGAACTGGGTCTCAGAGTGAAGTAGAAAGCACAATTTAAAAGCAAGGAACTTCAACACTTAGCTGCCATTTCCAAGCCAAGTGTGGAAGATGTTCCCTTCTTGCTTCTCACAGTAAAACATGAGAGGAAAGAGCTAGACTGACAGAAGAACTATAAAGCAAAGGAGAAGCAGAATTTGATGATTTGGGAAATTCGTAGGCGTTCACACTTGAGAAAGGACATTAACATAGATCCAAAGAGTTAGGGCAGAATGCTCTGGAGGGAATGTTGGAGAAACGAGCTCGGCCACGGCAGATATGATGAGGATGTGCAGGACAGGACGGGACCGGGTCTGACCTGTTGTTCACAGGGTCACTATGAGTTGCTGATGTACACAGCACCTACCACCACCACCACGCTGGAAAGAAAGGCCAAGGATAGGGCTAGTGCCTTAAAGAATCTTAAGTTGAGGATATTTAGTCACTGAGAGGCCTCTCTGTGGGTCTGAAAGATTGCTGAGAATCCAGGAACACCGACAGGTTCATCTAGGAAAGATCTGTGAGGGATCTACTCCTTCTGCTGGTGAGATTCCTAGAGAATACACAGGAGACAGAAAATGCTTCTGGGAGTGCTCGCTAGAGGGAGCTCTAGTGGCCTAGTGGTAAGACGCAGTGCTGTCATCCAGAGGGCCCACAGTTGGAATCTACCGGCTGCTCCGTGGAAGAAAGACAGTCTTTCTCCTCCTACGCAATTAACTGCCTCTGAAAATCCACCAGAGGGTCAGCTATGTGTCAGTTATGACTCCACCGTACACAACAACAACAGTGTATAGCACCAGTAACACTACCTGCCTGGACCGAAAGGAGCACAGAAAAGGCTAGCAAACTCCCAAGTCACACAGCAGGCTAGCAAACTCCCAAATTTCCACAGGTTGGTGAGATGTGTTAGCTACAAACACATGCCACTCTTCATGGAAAAGGATGGGCAAGCTTGAGGGCTGGGCTTTGGGTGCTAAGCACAGAGCCCCAATCACAGAGGGTTCCCCCGGGGCCTTCAAACCCAAAAGAATTTGCCCAGGTGGATGCTGGAATTGCTTAGATTTGGGGGCTACTTTTTTCTTTCATTCATTCTTTTTTTTAGGAAAAAAAAATCAACAGTATCAGTCACACTTATCCTATACCTGACCCACCATTGTATTCTGAGTGCAGATATAGGCTTTGCTGGTTTCACAGGTGCACAGATGACAGGGAATTTTGGCCAGGAGGGACCCTACCCAGAGTCTCAGCATACCTCATTTAGAAGGGGAGATCTGGGACTTCTGAGCTAATGAAACTTTCCAGGAGACTATGGACTTGAGTTAAAGTTGTAACAGGTTGACATTTAGGGGCAGTCTTAGAAGGAGTGAATATATTTTTCATGTGGAATGTACACGAATCTTTGGGGACCAGACAGTGAACAGTGGTAAGCTGAATGATAGCCCCCAAACACATCTATGCCCTGTCTTTGGGATCTGTGAATATATTATCTTACATGACAAAAGGGGCTTTGCAGATCCAATTAAGAATCTTCATAGGAGGAAATTATTTTAGATAGTCTCAAAAACTCTCATTACTGTCAAGACAGAACTCAAAGCTGACCCTCCAGAGGGTTTCCACCGGCTGTAAATCACACAAAAGGAGATGGCCTATCTTTCTCCTGCGGAACAGCTGGTGAATTTGAATCGCCTGCCTTAGGGTTGGAAGTACAACACCCTACCCACTAGGCCACCTGATCCAGGCCATGGTCTTCACAATTACTTGATATGCTTCAGAGAGTTGGATAATGACTAAGGATGACAGAAGAGATGCCTTTGAGTTATGGTGCGGGAGAAGAGTCTTGAACATACCATGGACCGACAAGAAAACAAATAGATCTGTCCTGGAGAGGGTGAAACCAAATTTCTCCTTGGAGCCTAGGATTTTGAAACTCTGTGTCACATACTCTGGGCATGTGGCAAGGAGGGACTGGTCCTTGGAGAAGGATATCATGCTCGGAAGGGTGGAGGGACAGCACAGAAGACCCTGAATGAGATGGATTGATACAGTTAGAGAAGCAATGGGAGTGGGGGTGTCAGTCAGTGAGACTGGCTCAGGAGAGGGCAGGCTTCAGAGCTGTTGTACACTGGGTTGCTATGAGTTGCAGGTGACTCGATGGCACTTAATAACAACAAGTAGGGCTCCAGAGTGCCCTTTAGATTAGCCAGGTAAGCCCAAAGTATTCCATCTGCTTACAAATCTCCATAAAGAGAGGCAGGATGACTGGAGTCAGAAAGAGGAGATGCCAATATGGAAGCAGAGGTCAAAGAGAACATGCCACGCTGCTGGTGTCTAAAGACAGAGGACAGGGCCATGAGTCAAGGGACGTATGTGGCCTCAACGAGCAAAGAAAGCTCTTTCCTAGAGCCTCAAGGACACAGGTCCGCCAAAACCTTCATTTTAGATAGTGAGACTGATTGGGGCGGTGGCCTAGTGATAAGGAGCTGTGCGGCCAACCCAAAGGTAAGTGGTTCGAATCCACCAGCTGCTCCATAAGAGAAAGATGGGCAATCTTTTCCCATGCAACTTACTGTTTCCAAAAGCCCACTGGAGGGTCAGCAATGGGTTGGATCTGACCGGCCTGCACATAACAACAACTCTAAAATAGCAAGCCTGGGTTGCGTTAAGCAATTAAGTTTGTGGTGGTTTGGTACAGTAGCACTAGGAACGAATACATTTGTCTATCTTTGACAGCTTTCGCCGGCAAAATGAGTGTTAATGGTGTTGACTGAGCAACTGGAATACCGCCTGGCACTAGCAGGTGCTTGATGAATAAGTGCTGAGTGTTTGAATAAACTGTCAGTGGCCAGGAGGAGGGTGGGAGCGTGCACGGGGCGCATCCACTCTCCCTATTAGCGATTGAGAACCAGTGACAGCACCAAATAAAGAAACCCAAACTTCACCGAAGGCACCAGTGAGAAACAAGACTTCGGGAACTGACTCTGACCTCGCTCTCTTTACAAGCAATGTGACCCTGAGAACGTTACTGAACCACTCTGAGCTGCATTCTGTAAAATGGGCTGACGAATCCCTCCCTCCCGTAACTTCATCACTCGAGTAGTGGCTGTCAGGCAGGCAAGGTTGAGAAGTCTTGTATTACAAGTGCGTGTGTGTTCATCAATGGCATTTAAAGGAACAGCAACACTCTTGCGTGTTGAGGTGGCCCGTGTCGTCTTCACGGAAGTTGCAGTGAGGTCACGGCGCATGTCTTCAATGTCTGAAGGTGGTGGGCTGTTGAAGGGCCGTTGGCTTCACTGTTCCTCCACTGGAAGTGGGAGTCCTTGCTGCTTAAAAGCATTTCCAGAGATTGTAAAGCTAGCAATCCTTCATGGCGTAGTAATGTGCTGTATTTTACCAAACATAGCTGATCGTTTCTCTCATTTGATCCCCAGAATAGCTCTGAATGATAGGATAAAATCCGATGATAACATCAACTCCCTGCTTCTGCTGGACCCTGGAGATTTTGGCATATGTTGTGTTTTCAACATATCTGCTCCA